TCAGGGTTTTCATTATGCTTCTCAACCCTTTACTGACATTTGTGACAACCGCAGACCATAAAAAGGGCTGTTGTCCTTCCTTTCTTCACAGGAGAACAATCAAGAGAACTATCAAAACAATCTCCATGAGCTAAGTGTATGGGCTCATTAGATGACGGGGCAAAGCTGCATGTTCCTCTGACTTGTCTTGATTAATAGATGAGAAACATTAAGGTTGTGAGTAATAAGCCTGTGTCAGCCAAAATCTACACAGGAAAACAATGAAAAACTGAGAGAGTGCAACCTCCTGTGTTCAGTCTTATAGCCAGAAGCATGCTACCAACAGCTGCATTATTAGTGGCGCACAAGAGGAAAAAAAACAGAGGAAGGAGGAGGTAGCGAAGACAGATGGGCAAATTCTGGGACCAGAAAACATAAAATCTAAAACATACGAGGCATCAGATTACACAGGTGACAGGACGATGTGAAAAGTTTCCCCCCCCCTCTTATAACAATGAGCTATTATCGATATTTATTGTGCTACAGCATCACAGGCAGTTAGATCACAGGGATATAAACTGCTGGCCATGACAAGAACAGCCTTTTTCATGCAGTGCAAAAATGCATAAAACTATTGTTGATGTGTCTCAAAGATCATATTTGTTTCCAAGCAACGGGAGATATCAGTGTGAAGAAAAGCATAAGTAAGTCTCACTAATGTGACCCTTAATGGACTTGTGAGGGGTTTTTTTCCCCCCAATCGTTTCCCCAGCTTTGTCCCCCCCCCCCACCTCACCATGGTAAGTGTAGGGAGAACTAAAAACAAAGGGCTTGTTTTAATAATGATACGGTTAAATGAGTGAGAGCATACGTCTCTTACTAACATTAACAACATGCCTGTAGTTGCTATGCAGTGAGAACATAGTCTTGATTATTTGCCTTAAATGGGATCATATGTTCAGAAGATATATATATATATATATATATATATGATCCATTTAAGATGGAGGTAGGAATACATTGCATTTGCAAATATGCACAATTCTCTGCCCGTGTGCCTAAACTGACACGCAATTAGGTGCCAGACCTGGGATTAATAAAGCAAGCCAATGACCAGTTGTATTTCTGGGCACAGTTGGCCCCACACTCTCACCCTCTTTATTTCATTCTGTCACTTTTCCCTTCAACCTTTATGTTCCTTTTTCTTTCATTTTTCATCTTGCTCATTATATCATTCACTCTCTCGTCCTCTGTTCTTTTCCCCTCATGTCTGTCACGCTAAAGCTATGTCACAGCTCGTATATCACCCAGCAATCATCTAAAGCATGACTGGTGACCACCACCAACCAACTTTTACCAGACCTCCCTCTTTTTGTCGCAGTCCAGACCACCACAGAGCTCCAAGGCCGGAAAACCAGCTGTGGTAGCTACATTAAAGTTCAATCCATCAATGGTGGAAATGCCAATTTTATGCTAATTTAAATTGCTTTGATCTTTTATCTTTCAAATATAGCCTTGTAGAGTAAAATAAGGAAGTGAGAAGTCAAGGGCAAAAGTCTGGACAGTAGAAAGTTTATACTGCTCACCTATAACTCAAATAAGACAAGTTTAAAAAAATTACTTTTGAGCGTTTTAAACACCGCTCATGTTTAAAAGAGGTGCAGGCAAAAAAGAAAAAACCAAAACATCCATTGTATAAAATTTGTTATGTAAATGAGCTGCTCTAAGGGTGTGCACTTGTGGTATATGGAATTGTTGCTCTGTCACAGATGAGACAAAGACAGAAATACTTAACTACACACACAGACTTGAATGAAAGCAGGAAAGGGCACAAGGCTTATTAATAATTATCATCAAATCAGGCTTTGTACCAGTGCTGAGTGTAAACTGGTTATTCATTCAGACATTTAATAAGACTGTTTTCAATAATATATCCTTGAGATGTCAGTAGAAATACATGTGAGAGCCTAATGTGATCAGCAATTAGCAATGACAAAAATAATCTGGGTGGATTAAACTTTTTCACTACCAAAATTAGACACATAAACACAATTCTTACGCACAGTGTATTTTACACTCACACAGAACTGCACAGAGTTGAGTAAGATGTGGGAGGTCACTGTGGTCAGTGTGTTGCCGACTCTGAGGTTAGTAGTGGGTAAAAGTATTGGTAGACAGGAATTACTGGCTACTACTATTACTACTGCTGCTACTAAAAACCACAGTAACATGCATGATGTATATAAACATTAGAACACGCATATGACATAGAACCGGGAATTCTGACAATTACAAAAAAAAAAGAGGAGAATACAAAAGAGGAGCTAGTGACAAATCCAAAAAGAATTGGGAACAAAATAAAAGTTGTCAACAGAGAAGACTTAAAAGCATAAGAAAAACACATAAATAAATTGAGATGAAGCTTAAAAGGGAAAAATACTAGGTTCTAAAACAAAATATAAGTTATGAATGAGGAGTGAAGTAAAGTAGAGCCAAACCAACACAGCTGATGCAAACCTTCTGAGCACAAAGGCACATAGTCTAAGCGTGCATGCACTGACGCAAGCACATATGGGCACACACCTGTCCATTTTCAGCTAGAGATACTAATAATGACATACTGTTTGCTGCATGGCTCACCAATAAAATACAACACTAGTGTGGACTTCACTGGAATGCAAAGGAGAATGTTGGAGTAATGTCCGAGCTGACTGAAAATCAACAGTCCCACAGACAGCTGTGTGATAAACCATGCAGACATGCAATCGAGTGACAAGGAAAATATAATTTTACGGTATGTTTTCTTATTTTACTCATATCTGGTCTTGTGAAACACAGATTACACTTGATGTGCTGTGCGCTGTGTTATTCCTGTAGTTGCCACTGAGCACCACAGTAACTCAAAGTATTACAAGTCCTAGCGGCTGTGTTCCAGTCAGCTGCAATGAATTTTAGTCTCTGAATGTTGCTCTTAATATTTTTCAATATTTTACAGTCTGTCAGTGCCTTGAGATTAAAACTGAAGCTGTTGAGTTTGCCCATGAAATGCTGAAATGTGGAATTTCTTTTGGACAGCGAATTAATTCTCATACCTAAACGTTTCCCTCCCGCGAAGGACACTGACCATCTGTGTTATCAGCTAGACTTCAATATGAAACACCTTCCCCTATTGAAAAACTTTGCAACATCAAAAGGAGAGAAGGGAGGACGAATTCCTAAAAGAATGAAAAAGCATATGTTCAAAGTGAACAGCGTTTGTTTGCCGTCTTCAGTTTTTAGCTTCAGCGTGTATCAGTTGTGTGCTGGCAATACCTTGATGACTGCTACAGCAGTTGGGGACACGAGAACAATCTCATGGTTTAAACCCAAATCTTGTGTTGCATTAGATCTGCCACCTTTACCACAAATATCTGCAGCCAGTGAGCCAGTAAGTCACACTTACGGAAAAATAGCAGCTGGTGTCGCCGTGGCAAACTTTATTTTCTTACCAACCGCACAGCACACATCTCCCTTAAGGTATGAGTGTTCCCGAAATTGCAAAAGCAGATACAGACAGTACTAGACATTTTTGGTTATATCATAGGAATTATTGCTGAGTATTTTCCCTACATATACTTACCCAGCACACCACCTATTCTCCTCAAGTCTCATGCCTTTTAAGCTCAAACTTTCTTTTCTTCTAAGCCCCCACTGCTCCTTTTCTAGCCTGCCAGCACATGGACCAGATGTGCAAATGTTTCTCCATGTCGCTATTCAAGCCCCGTTCCAAGAGAAAGGCAAAATGAGGGGAGAGGAATATTTGACTTCACTCCACGGGAGACCAGCTTCATAAATTTTGGCGGCTACACAACGGTGAAAAAGGTAGCTTGGCTGGCTTGACTGGGGGAGAATGTTGACGGCATACCAAACAACATGATCCTAATGAGTTGGAAAATCCCAGGCCCTCCAGAGGACTGTCCAGATGCTACCGTCATGAGAAACGCTACTGTTTTATTGAATTCAGACTCCCCTACCTTTCTTTAACAAGGGACAAAATTTATTATTTGACCATTAAGACACCCTAGGTGACATGAAGCATTTCAGAGTTAATTTGGTCTCAGCTGCAGGTCCAGCGGCCCACATTGGGCCCCAATAAGACAAGTTCATCTTCAAGTGTCTCGTGTGAACTCGTGTATACTTGGAGAACTTCAGTTCTAGATACATGCATGCCAATTTGCCCAGAGTTCAATGCTATCGAGTTGGCTTGTTTTCCCATCAGTGACAGTCTGACAAATGTACTGTGCCCTCACAAATAACTGGAAAAGTTTTCATAAGAAAGTCAAATCACTTTTAATATTAGCCAGTTCAATATATCTTTCCTGACAGTTTACTGGTACAAGTAAACAAAGGACCATAAATGAAGTTTGCGGGGACAAACGAGAGTTATCCTCAAAAAATGTTCAATAAATCAAGAACAACAATGAATGCCTTAACATCTAATACTCTGGTCTAAAAGAGACCAGATGAGTATGTTTGTTCTTTGTTCCATCACTACTGAGCCATTAAAAGGATATAATAAATCAAGTGACTTAGCTGCCATTGCAGAAATATTGCTACCTTACAGTAACATATTATAACAACTAAAAAACAGAGCGTTCCCCTGGTGCGCAATTATAAACATGTCTACTCTGATAACTCTTCATAGAAAGAAGAAGTCACTGTACAACTGGTGTCAGTGTAAGATACACATGCACAAATAAGAAACAGAAGCAAATTCATCACAAAAATCCAACTAGAGGTGATTTTCAGTGTTGAGAAGATGTTTTGAAATATATTTGAGTCCTACTCTGTCTCCTCTCTGTAGACAGGCCTCAACCTACAATCACTACAGTGTAAGCAGATCAAAGAGCAGTAGAAAAAGACTATTATTATTATTATGAGCTTGGTCAGGGGCAAGAAAAGAATGAATCTGGATTTCTGTGTTAAGTGGTTTTGCTATTAGCAAAGGCAAGGCAAGTTTCGTATTGTCTCGTGTTACTCACCTGGAGCCTTGTACACTTCAGTAAGCAGACTTTCATTAAGTGTCACTGGCGCTCCGTTGACCATGCTGTGGGTCCAGCTCTGACAGATTGTTTGGAGCAAAAGTGTCTGGGCCCTTGTGGCCTGTATAGTGAAGTGGGGAAGTTCAAAAATAAACTCTGTGGTGGGGACTGAAGACCTTTTGCTCCTGCAAGAAAAGGGACAAGACAGAGTCAGATACACATAAATGCGCTCTAAATGAAACAGACACTGGTGGAAACAAATGGTTCACAGCTTCCACAAATCCATCAATATCACATCACAATATAAAACAGCTCATTGATAGCGCCAAGGGCCAAATAAGCAGAACTACATTCCAATAGTAAATTGAAGAAGTACCAAGTGTGAGCCAAGCTTTCCTTAGTTACTTGGCAGGTAGGTTTAGTTTGTCGACCCTTCCCTCCCCTCCGTCAAAACTGTGATGATGATTTATGTGAAAAGATGTACAGCCCAGAAACCCGACCCTGAAAAGAATCTCTACGCCTTTAATATTTCATCTGTCTCCAAGAGAGTGGATGGAGCGAGTTTGTGTGAGTCTGCGCGTATGACGAGCTGATGAGTTGAGCGTTCAGGGGGATGAGGTAACACCACAGTCCGATGGAGTCCTCCAGGCCTCTGTCCATCAGAAATTCAGCAGAGCATGCTCTCATTTCTCATCTGACACACACACACACACTTGCTTTTTTCATTTTTTTCATTTACAACCCAGTCTTCAAAAAAGTTAGCATGCTGTGTAAAATGTAAAAAAAAAAAAAACTAAACAAAATAATCAAAACAGATTTTGTTTCATGACTTGTTTTTAATCCAAAGTTAATTACAAGTGTTTATTTTTGCAGCAGAACTAAAAAGAAAAACAATGATTTAAATGAGAAATGTGGTTTTTTTTATGTTGCAAGCACTTGGGTACAGAGGCATGTGTCACAATGATGTTGCATCAACTCTTTGTTTAACAAAAGTGTGAGGGAGTTAAGAACAGCTGCTTTGGACCTTAAAGCCAAGCCTTTCCCCATTTTTCCTTGATGTAAGATTTTAGCTGTTTAACAGTTCGGGGCGTCCTTTGTAGCATTTCTCATTGTATAATCTGGCAAATATTTTAACGGGTGATGTGTTTAGTCAGTTTAGCATCTAGACTAAGTGAAGAGCCGTGCAATTGTAGAATTGTCCAGAATGTGGTTTGGGAATGTCTTGCTGAAATAAACAAGGCTCTCCCTGAGAAGGACATCATGAGCAGGGGCAGCAAGTATGCTGTTTCTGTTTGTGTCTTTCAGCATGAATAAAACCATTGCAAGAGAACCATAGCCATATCTACCACTATACCATTATAGATGCCGGCTTTAAACTCTGTGCTGATAAGAAGCTGGATGCTTTATTTAAACACCAAACCACAGCCTACCCTAATCTTTGCAATAATTGGTTGTGATGTTCTGTCGGGTGTTTTGCACTTTTCTTATTAGAAATTATTTTAATATCAGAAACATCAGAAATGTTGTCGTTGTGCTTTTCTTTTTACTACTTATAGCAAAGCCTGAGGCTAGGCAGGCTGAAGTAAGCACAGTCAAACAAGTCTCTTTAGTTCCACTCCTGTTTTCCTCTCATGTTCTCAAGGCAGGAAAATCGGAGTGGAACTAAAGTTTCTTGGTCTAGGATTTTGAGGACTGGCAGTGCCCCCAGCACCGATACCCATCTATGTATTGCATGTGTGTTCACTTGAGTACTTATTGTAATAGAATCTGCCCTACGAGTGGAGGTTTCATTGAAAATAGAACTGTGACTAATTCAAACGATGGCTGCAGCGTGTCAGGAGCGAGCATCACAGTTCATTTAATCACGCACCCATTTTGGTCTGGTCCCAGTTCTGAGTGTGGGACATGTCACAAGGCCTTTCTCTGCGCTCAGCAGCTCTGCAATCATTTAACTTCTCTGCTTCCCTCCCTCTCTTTCTTCAAGTCTCTTTATCTTTCCCTTTCTTCTGCTCCTGGGTGGTTCGGCAGGGTGACATGAGCAGTTAGCTGCACACAGGCAGACCCAGATTTCTTAAGCATCTGCTGTGTCTTCTACGAGACAGAAAGTGAGAGCGCGTTTGATAAAGAGAGATGTAAGGCTACAGGAAAAACACAGGAAGAAAAGAAGAAAGAAAATTCAAACCTGATTGGGTCAATGAGTTTACCTTGACGGCACACATATACGTTTAAAATTCTGTGCCTACATGTGGTGGATTTGGCAACATAGGAAACCATGCCATGTCATGCTTTTCTGCTAGTAAAAGTCACTACTGTTGTATGCTATACAACAAGACATCAATCAAAGAGTTTCTCGTGTGCTTTTGTGCGTTCAAATATGTGCACTGTGTGTGCACATAGCAAGATACTGCAGCTGAACAAAAGAAAGTGAAGGGAAGCCGGCAACAACAATGTCCCCACATGCAGAGCAAATGTGCCTGCAAAGCCACTTCAATGAGAGGACTGGCAAGGGATGAAAGTTTGTTGCCTTATTTGAGTGTTTATAGCATTTAAGGGGAGCTGTCATGTGCATGTGGTCCCCTAAAACTTTAATTATGCACCTGTTTTTATTATATTATGCCCAATTCTTTGCGAACAGCAACTTGGATCTTGGATTCAAATGAGAAACAGAAACTCTCATTAGGGTGTTTTGGGAATGCTGTATGCGAAGACAGCCAGGCACTCATCGGATTTCATTAAGTAGCTGGCACGGTCAGTGTTTCTTGCTGCAACATGGTAAACAGCTTTCTGGCAGGCAGTGTTTCACTGCTGCCGCAAGCTTTGTGGGAAAGAAACCTCAAAAAGATTCAAAATAACACCTGCAGCATCACCTGCAGTAACAAACAACATTAAAATGTTTGCCTTGAAACATACATTAGCTATGCACAATGGAACTAACAATAACTAACATGTATTTTACTGTTATAGTGCAGAATGCCTATTAGTCTGTAGCTTGGGGAGCAAAACTCATTAGAGAATATCTATACTATAATGTGGAGACCTACCAGAAGGGGGGCCCACAACCCATTTTAGGTCCTAACTCAGGCTCTTGGCTTTAACTTCAGTGCCTCATTGAATAGCCTGTCTCTAACCTCACAGTGGTTCTTTAAGTCAATAACTTTTTCATTAAAATGCAGAGGCCACCAGGAATGTGTTAAAAGAAAATTTAAATTAGTCAGGAAAAGGAGAAAATTTGGTATTTCAATTTCAGCTGTCCTCTGATGTATTTCAGAGGAAAAGCTCAAACGTATTTGAGAAACATTAGGCCATATTTTCCATCTGTTCCCTGTTGGAGTCAGAACTAGACCAGGACTAACACATCCTGACCTTCCTGGTGAACAACTAGTTGACTGGCTGGAGTCTCAGTCCAAATCAAGCAAACGGGGCATGAAGTTGGGCTGAAGCATGAGTCAGAGCTAAAAGTACCACACCAGCTGTGGTACTGTTTGCCTAGCTTGTCTCCTCTGTGCACAGGACCAAATCTGGACACGAAGCAGGAACAGATTAAAATGTATATTTTAGCCAATAAAAGAATTATTGAAACATCATAGAAGCTAGAAAGAAAATAACATGATAACCAAATACTTTGGTTAGCATCCTTAAATTTTGGGGGTTTTTTTTGGAAACCCACAATAAATATTTCACATAATCATAGTTGGCATTCATTTACGCCAGTGGTCTTAATGGTGCTAATCAGCATCCTGGTCTAATATGACTGTGGTCACAGCTATATTTAGACAAGTACAGCTGGGGTTATAGCTATCGAGCTTTAACTGCTGCTTTAGGCCACACATAACCACAAAAATGCATATACCTGTCCAGACACAAATAAATAATGTTGGCAAAAGTGCACATACATCTGCATGCTAACACATGGTGAAACACAAGCTTTGTAACACTATAAACCAGTACGAGCAGGTTAGTGGGCCAGAGCATAATGAGCAGGAGTAATGAGGCTACAGCTGACAAGGGCTGCTGCTCTAACAACCTGCAACTGGAGCAGTTATAAAATTAGGTGCCAACACTTAAGGCTGAAAAGATGCACTATGCTAAGCATCTATAATACTGAAAGGTAGCATGTTCTTCAACCAGAGCGAAACAAGGGGAAAAGAGAAAAAGAACAAGAAAAACACGATTAAGCCATGCAGAGAACACAAAAAAGAACAAGGGGAAAACAACAAGCATATGTAGCATAAGAATACAGACTTGCAAGTCTATGTTATTCTCCAGGTAAAATAATACATTAAATGGGAGTCTCATTAAAGGAAGTATGTGGAAAAGCTCCAGTACAAACTCAAGCAGGAATAGATTATGTAACTGATATGTTGTTGCTTTGTACTTTTACAGAAAAAAATGAAGGTAGCATAATTAAAGAAAGCTGGTTTGTGTTGAATAAATGTTCAGTAATTGGTTCCAATCCTGATATGTTGGCATTGGTGAAGATGTTTCGAAAAAGACAATAAGTGAGAAATACAAAAAAGCAAGTCCTCATGTTACAAGAAAATTCATTTTTTAAAGATCAGCATCTTGTGAGATTGAAGGACTATTACCAGGTGCAGCTGGTCCTAATGGTTTACATAGTGTCCCAGAATACAAGCTTGGAACCTGCGCACAGTTTCCAGAACCTACATTTTCTTATTACTCATATCCTGTACAGTACCAAAAATCAGTTGCCTCACTCTTTCCAAAACACAACAACATAGACAGCTGTGGGTTCTGGGACATCAGCAGTAAATGTGGAGCAAGGTGTCTGGTCTCTCCATAGACCACAGAAAAAGAAAAGGGCACACTCGCACAGAGACCCTTTCCCTGGCACAGAGGCTTTTTTTTTTTCTCCAAGGGGGCTAAATGGGAAATTACTCATAAAAACCTTCACCAATATAAGCTGTTAAAAGTGCAACATGATGAATGTTAAATTAAAGGCAGTTTAAAAAAAAATGCAAATAGGACCGTCAATTAACTTTCCACAAGGCTGACAATGTGAGACTTTCTCTTGACTTTAACTTATCTGAACCTATTTTCAAAGTCCACAGTAACACCAATGCAATCCATTACAGGCTGACATATTTGTCTGATAGATACCACAGATAGCCACTGTCCTGAGACCAGTTATCTAAAGTTTCTTCAAATCATTCACTGTCACACCTCA